TGCTGAGGAGTCACTGCCTTGTGATAAGAACAACTCCTTGCATTGGTGTCTGTAGGAAGTGCTTATCATGGCAACTTTTTTTTTCTTTTTTGCTTTTGTCACGGCAACTTTTCCTCTTTTTTTGTCTGGAATATTTCCTAAACTAGGGGCATGCAAACTTTAGATAGAATAATCCTTTCCCCTGTCACTGGAGACAGAACACGGCTGGACACTGGCCTTACAGGCAGAGAACAAGAATTCAAGTCAGGATATGGTGTAACCCAGCTTTGAAAATGAGCATCCTCTACTCTGAAGCAGGCTGGAGGACAGCTGCTTTCCAGCCCCAGGGAAAAGACACCGGCCCAGCTGATGAGGGGTGGGGGATCCCCAGAGTCTCCCCTTCCCCAGTTTGGGCCCAGGAAGGGTTTGGGCAGAAAGATGAGAGAGAAGTCTGGGTTCCTTCCAGTCAGGCTTTCTCCTGCGGGCTCCTCTCCTTCTGAGGCTCACAGTCTCTAAACTGCTCTGAGGGGCACAGCTGGTGTGGGGGGCTGTTCATAAACACAAAACACCCACTGCTCTATAGGATGGGCACACAAGGCCAGCAGACTGGATCCTGGGAGTCCAGAAAGTCCTAGACAAGCATACACTGCAGTGTTTGGAGCGTGGGTGGAGGTAGGACCACGAAGTGGAAAAGTTTGCTGGGGAAGCTAGGTCGGTTTCTGTTTGTTTCGTGGTTCTGAGGGTGGAACCCGGGCCTCACAGGCACTAAGCAAGTGCTCCACTTTGAGCCACATGCCCCTGGCTGGGTTGGTTTCTGAAGGTGGCCTGAATGAGCCAGTACGGGCCAAATGAACTGAAATGACAAAACACTAGCAAGTACCACCTGCCCGCTATGCCCTGAAACATGCAGTCCCCTTAAATATGCTGACTGAAAGGCCAAGCAATTAAACCAAATAAGCAAAACCCCAGGACTGGGCAGTGGGCTCAGGCCAGATTAGGGAAGGGAGGTTTGGTGCCGGTGGTGAAGGTGAAGCAGCAGATGACTGTGGAACACCCTGTCCATTCTGACACGGTGTGGCCGAAGACTGGAGGTCCCAGGAAGCAGGGCCCTTCTGCTCCCCAATATGCATTTCACCTCTTGCTAGCAACTTCCCAACAACCCTGACTCCACCGGTCTTTAGGGACTGGGAAAGGTCTTTAGGGACTGGGGGGGCTGGCTTGTCCTTAAGGTGCAGCCTACCAGCCTTTGGGGGGTTTGTACTGGGGGTGTGGAAGTCTCCCTCCCTTCATTGTAGGCTAGGGATGCAAAGGCCCTGCTCCCCAGATCTGGACAGATCTCTCCGTGTGGGGTGCCTTGTAAGAGGCTCTGGGTTAGAGGTGTGGCCTTGTGGGAAGAAAGGGCTGAGGCAGAATTCAAGGCAGGACCCAGAGGAGCTTCACATCATCCCCTCCACTTCCCAAGCCCTCCCAGGCACACTGCTCTTGGGATCCTCTCCGTCAGCCCCTGGACTCTTGGACTCCACAGTTGCTAGGCCCAGCATCTCCTCATGGCTGGCAGGGCAGCAGGACTGTGTCAAAGACAGGCCTGCCCTCGGGACTGGTGGGGGGTGTGAGGGCGTCATTTTCACTATTTCTGCCTCTGAGCACCTGTCACCCCCCCCCAAATGCAGGGCATAGAAAGGGAAGGGTGCAGAAAGCTTCTGATATTCCCAGGTAGGTCTGGGGCTGGCACTGGGCCCCACACAAGAATCCTTTTATTTCTGCTTCCTCTGTTTTACTCGGGAGAGCTGTAAGCCATGATTCCAAACATAACAGTTGTGAGATAAAGAAACCAATCTCTGGGGTGCAGAGCCCCCCCTGCTAGCTCACCTCCACTCCAGGGCAGGTGTGGGGGCAGGAAGTTCCCCTCTCCCCATTCCAGCCTCTTGCGGGGACCCAGTCCTCCAACTGTCCTCTCTGGGCCCTTCCCCAGAGCGCTGCAGACCACACTGCCCACCAGGGAGTTTATGAACAAAGCCAGTCACATGGGGGGCATCTTCTTCCTTTGGCTCCAAGCCCCTCTTCTTGCCTTCCTATCTCCAAAGGCGGAAATAGAAAATTAGAGCCCGACACAAACCAGATGGGGTAGCAATGGAGAAGGCCTTAGGGCCCAGCCCACTGGGGTACTAAGGGAAATGAAACACATAGCTGAGGTGCAAACCCACCTACACGTCCCGAGGTTCACACGTTTACACAAACACACAAGGAGAACCACACACCGAAACACAGACTCCAAACAACTGCACACAAAATGCTCGCCTAATATCCACACATTCCACGCCGGGGCCCCAGCTTCCAGCCTAACGGGAACCCGGCCTTCCTGGAGTTCCCGAGGGCGGCC